TGTGATAAGGATGAACCAGGAAGAACAACATTATTGAAAGGAATTTATTTTTGCCATGTTGGATTGCTTGTGTGGACTGTCATGTCAACTCTAATGGCAAATATAACGTTTCAAGGGTATTTGTGGTTCAAAACATAGACGGCAAAAGTAGTTTTGATCCCAAACATAATTAAAGGGTATATATGAGCTATTTCGAATCATTCGAGGGTATTTTTGACCCTTTTCCGAAAATAAAATAGTGGCACCAACATGGGTGTGGTGCAATGGTGGGACTGCTCCACCTTCAACCAAATGTCTCATGTTCGAGCCCCGAGTAATTAGAATAATCGGGCTCCGCTCCAATGAGGATATCAAACATCATGTGCAAATTAAAAAAATGCAAAGAAAATACCTTACCATCAATATGCCTCAACACACTAGATTGGGGATATTTACTTGCAAACTTTTTTGGGAAAGGGGCGAATATACCTCTCGTTAATAAAATGATGTATATAGGTCTAAATCGTCTAATAAGTAATGTATATATAAATCATTTTTGTTAACTATAGACCTATATTTGCGTAATTAAGAAAATAATCTACTACTACTGTAATTTGAGTGAATTTTTGTAGATAAATTTATGTTCCGGCCGCATTTAAAATATAGAATTCATATGACTACATACTATGTTTAAATTAACAAACAACAACTAATTCACAGGAATAACTTGATTATATAATGACTTTGGCTTAATAATTGAATTAAGTCCATGATTGGAGGATAAGTATAAATTAATTATAAGTGGCATCATCATTTGCAATTTATTAATTTTACTTACCGCTAGAACTGGATCTTACAAGGTGCCTTTCACACTGCCAATTATGATAGTAAAATTAAATAACAAAGTATAACTAGCTGTACACTATTTTTATTTTATAGAGGTTCAACGACTTGAGAACGTGTGATATAATGGGCACAAGGAGTATGATTATACAGAGTCAAATTAGTAGATCAACTAGGTATTTTCAATATTAATATCTTAGCATATCCAATGAATAAAATAACAGGTTCTGATTTTTAAATGAGTTTGACCCTTAATTTGTCATTTAGCAATTGAACTCCTGTTACATCCTTTTTTTATTTTTTTTTATCGAAATTTGACATAATTTTATCTATCTAATAATATATTTGTTTGTAGAAATGATATATAGGGACTAGGTCGAGATGTCGTCAGGACAGGTGATAGAGGCGCGTAGAATGGATATGACAGGTAGTACCATATGGTGGTGCGTGCAGGGTAGGGATCGGGGGGGGGGGGAGGGGGGGACTTAGGAGAGGTAAAAGGCTTAATAGAATTTAAAGTGCTAGGAATGATGAAGTGAATTGTGATCATACTAATACTAACACATAAAATTTCATCAGAACCCCGAAGTTAATTAGTGAGCTTGGATGAAAATACTAAGATAGGTAACCCTTTGCGAAGTCCTCCAGTTGCACTATAAGAAATTAGAGCTTTTGTGACAACTTATCTTATCGCCACAAAAAGAGATGAATCCTCAGTGACAAGTGTTGCCAAAATGCATAGATTTAGCGGCGACTTAATCACCGTCGCCACAAATAATCCTACTAAATATGACTGAAAAATTAATTGGTTGCGACGAAGAAATTGTCACTATAAAAGGTCTTTTGGTGGCTACTTCATCGTCACTCAAGAGGATTGGTGGCAACTTTGTAGTCTCCACTAATTCTATCGTTTTTATAAAGATTTTGGATGTAAGTTCAAAGTTTTATTATGGTCCATTATTTGTACTAAATAAGTATTTATAGGAATTTGATATTTCTTCCATCCTATTTTAATTAACTTAGCTCCTTTCAAAATTGTAGACATATATTGAAAAGTTTTAACAGTGGTAGCCTTACTTATGAAGCATTATGAGTAGTGTCATATATTTTGTTACTTATTTTAGTCAAAAATGTATATACTATATTCATCATATTTTAGTTGTCACATTTTCATTTTAAACGACCTTTAATTATTATAATAAGAGATTTTACTCACTAATTTATCCTTAACCTCTTTTAATGTAGTAATAAATATTAAATACTTTAAAACTAACTACTTTGAAATATTTACTTTTCTTTTCAAAAGCAATATATATATATATATATATATATATATATATATATATATATATATATATATATCCATTATTTCTTTTTATATTAATACTAACCGCATATTATCAATTCTATTGAAATACTAACAGAGTATATATAAGTTGATGATGTTCAATACTAACATAAATAAGCAAAATAAGAAAAAATAAATTAATTAATAATAATCAAAACTCTAATATACATTTAGATAAGTAAAATAACAAATATAACTTTCTAAACATGTTTCAATCATGTAATACAAAAAATAATTAACAAGAATAGTAGTGGACTTTATAATAAATTTTAAAAATCATTTATTTGTAGGATAAGTAAATTTTAAATAATAATTAAGTAATATTTTATTAGTGACAATTAAAACTCATTTATCTTTATAGATAATACAAAATAAGATATAAGTGAAATTTATATGTACACATACACGAACATATAAACCCAACAAAATGAGAAAATATAAAAATATTTTTTCTCATATCAAACACTTGTGTATATCTTTGATTTAGTTAATGTAAAAATAAGAAGAGGTTGACTTTCAGCTATTTAGTCTTTTAGTACCATGACAGATAAAGACAAATACAATATGGGGTTTGTATTGAGAAAAATCTGTCGTGTAAACTCTTGCCAATTATTGATAGACATTAAATCTAATCTATATTTGAATGAAATATGGGTGGTAATTTCGTGTATTTGTGTATGTGTATAAATGATGATATAATATATTATTAATGTAGAAGTTAAATATGAAAAAAGTGAATGAAGTTAAAAATAAAATAAATAATGACAAACAAGAGAGGGTTGCTCGAATGGTAAGCACCTCTCACTTCCAACGTTATAGGTGTATCTGAAAAGTGAAAAGTATTGCAATTGTCATTAAATAATTGAATTAAAAACAAAATAATTTTTCACTTTTTTCCAATAATTTACCTTTTTTGTTGGGTGGTTTTTGTGGCAAATTTAATACATTTTTGTGGTGGCATTAGTCGCCACAAAAAAACTAAACCTTTGGTGGCGACTTATGTTGTTGCCACAGAAAAGTATCAACCACTTAGTATAGCGAACGACCCATGGGTCTCCACGACAGGTTATTCGTGGCGATATTTTGACTTTCTATGGAGATTTGCGTCGCCACAAAAGGTTCTTTTATTATAGTGTTGCATCCATCCTTTTGTCAAAATTCGACATAATTTCGTCTAGTTGATAAAATATTTTTTCTTGCAGAATCGACATTGTCAGGGCAGATGTGTACATATATATATACTAACAATTTTCTTAACTAACTTTCTGATTGGCTAATCAACTAATTACTTAGAGGCTGCAAATTAGTTAACAATTTTCTTAACTAACTTTCTGAATCTGGTAAAACTGCATTTCACATTGCTAGCTAGTTATTACTATAAATAATAGTAACAGCAAAGTAATTAGTTATGGGTACATAGCCGTCTTTGTTAGAGAGCATTGGAAAGTTGGAATCACTTAAAGTTCAATAAACTTTAGGGCCTGTTGGTTGAAAGTTGGAATCATGTAAAAGTTCAATAAACAAGGAATATCAAAGCCCGGAGGAAAGACACCACAATACAAAAAGCACATCTGCACTTGTTGAGGCAAACGATTGTAACTCATCTCTACAAATACACCATAATCTTTATTCTCTTTATAAAGATATTGGGACACATTTTTTTCAGTTCTTGCCCAGTCACTTTTGTTCGAACGACCTCTTAATAGTCCTGCAATCAGCACTATTTCAAGTGGTACATACTCCTTTAATTTGCATTTTCGTGCAATGGTTTGTCCAAGTTCAACTAACTCAACAGGACAATTTCCTTTGTCAAAAACTCTCTTTACCAACAATTTAAAACTTCCATTTTTCATTCAAGATTTCAGATTATGAGATATGGATTGGCATACGAAGCCAGATATCTGTCATGCGTTGTCATCATGATTCGATGCCCCTTTTTGTTTCTTAGGAAAACTCTCTTTACAACTTCAACAACTTCTGCTTCCCACACAATGAGCTAGACATCTCCCTCTTTTACTTATAAAATCACTTATTACCTTAGCTAATGTCTCCTCATCCTCATTGACATGATCTCCTATGCGTTTCGTGAAGAATCATAAGAAGAATATCCTTTATTCTGTAATCATGACCGACGTAAACCCAAAGTAATTAGTTATTACTAGGTGATGAAGTTAGCGTGCATAGGAAATGATCTGATTATATAAAAAAACAAGATACACAAACGAGTGTATCTAAGTTATAACTCTTTAAAAATAACCAAAATCCTCACAAAGATTATACATACTAAATACTTGAGATTCATAACATGTCTTTGAACAATAGTAAACCACACAAACCCAAATGTCAAATCATGGAGATTCTTGTTATTATTAACTTGAATAAACAAAAGACAAGAAGCTTTCTTCATTGTAATGAGACACAGTGACATGACCATATTAAAGAGCATTCTAGCTATCTGTCCATGATCCCCGGGCTCCCAGCAAAGTGTCTTGATCAAACTTCCCTGCAATAAAAAGGAGAAGTGTTTCAGATAAGTTATAAAACTACCGCGCAGTTCTATATTTTAATGGACATGAAGTCTCTGTGAATACGATATTTGGACTCATAATCCTATACTACTTGTACGACCGTGAGCACTTGTGTGTGCATTTGGACTCAACAGGAGCCAAGTAAAATGGAAATGGAGATTTATAATCATTTCAAGACAATAAAATTTAACTGACCTTTTAACTTCACTGAGTGTCCCTGGGATCAGCTTCACTCCGGAGAAATACAAATGAGCTAAGAATTGATGCTTTACGGAGCATGTTTTCAGGGCCATTAATTAACTCTACTGCTGAAACTGAGATAGTTCAGCTGGCACACTCTCAAGCTTAGGACACTCAAGAACAAGTACCCTAAGTTTGGGGAAGTGAGATCCTGAAGCCTCCCAAGTATGGAGGTCATTGCTATGAATCCACAAGACCTGCAGTTTTCGAAAATCACCTTTCTCCGGATTCCATGACTTCCCTGTGAATGCATCAGTTTTCAACTTGAGGACCTCCAGGCATTCCAGTTGCCCTAGTTTAGTTGCATCTTTCCAATCAAACATTGTCTTTGACAAAGTTAACTTCTTAAGCTTGAGTAGAAATCTGAATAATGCTTTCGGAAACTGAAAAGCATTAGTATGGCAAGGAACATCACTTATCATTTTCAAATTTTCTAGGCACTCAAACTTTTCTAAAGTTTGAAACCCTTCAAAAGTGCTGAATCGGTCGCTGTTAGTTTTAATACATTCTTCTAGTTTCCCTTGAATACTCAATTTTTTGAGGCTGTTCGAAGCCTGTCCGAGCACATCTTTGTTGCAAGTTTCCGGTGAAATCTTAGAAAGAGTTTGCAGCAGGGAGGAGGAACCTTTTCCCTTTTGGGTTGAAGGGAGAGGCAATTTAGAAGGTTTGTTGGTCTTCAAATGCGTCAACTTTGACATGTTCCATATATTTGCTTTTATGTTGAGAGTGGGCTGGGATGTATTAATTATAATAGATTGTAAACTCCAAAACTTACTAAAGAATGCAGGAAGTTCCTTGAAATTACCTGAGATAGAAATGTACCTCAGATGAAATAGTAGGTTAAGATTCTTCAAGGAGGGAATGTTGATTGATTCAATTTTCAAAACCCTGAGAAGTGGAAATGCTTTCCGGATGAGTTGAATGTCAACATGAGAGGATAAGTTGGTTTGTTGGTCTAGATCTTCCGAGGAAAAACATAAGAAAGATCTAACATGTTCTGCACTGGAAATTCTGGAGATAAAATCTGGCAGATCACATGATTCAATATGCAATCGACGAGAAGTATCTGGATCATTTATCGATGGAAAATCAGGTGTGAGACGTAGTTCTTGAAAAACACTTTCTTTAGTCACCTCCATCTTGTAGAACTCATAGAATATCTCATTACATTTAACCCTTTTTATCGAACCAGTAATCTCTCTCGACACTATCACAAGGTCCAAATTCTCAAACTCCATCAAATAATTCTCTGCTTTGTCCTTAGAGGAAGAGAAATTTATTGGACTTGACTCTATGAGCCCCTCCGCCATCCACAATCGAATCAACGTCTGAAAAGGGATATCATAGCCTTTTGGAAAGGCTAGGCAATACAAGAAGCACGCCTTCATTTCAGAGGACAAACTTTCATAACTGGCTTCCACAATTTTCCAGCAGCTTGTTGTCTCATTCTCTTTCACAACATACTGCCAAAAGTTGTTCTCGATCCTTTCCCAATCATTTACGGTCTGATTACCTTTTAAAGCTTTAGCAACTACCACTAATGCAAGTGGTAATCCACCACATTTACTTGCAATACTCTTTCCAAGCTCTACTAACCGATCATTTTGACACTTTTCATTGTTGAAAACTCCCTTTTCCAGCAACCGAAAACTTTCTTCTCCATTGAGAAACTTGAGATGATATGGTTTTTTACTTGCACAGCTAGCTGCCACATCTCTGCGGCGAGTGGTTATCAAGATCCTATGGCCTTTCTTGTTTACTGGGAGAACATTTTTAGAACGATCAACAAGTTCACTCGCCCACACACCGTCCAAGACAATGAGACACCTGTCTTGTTCAGTCACAAAATTAGCTATTACTTTAGCTAACTCATTCTCACCAGTACAGTGTAATTCTTGATTGGGTTCCGTAGATGATTTGAGAATCACAAAAAAGCTATTCTTTAGTTCGTTGGACTGTCCGACAGAAACCCAAATGATCTTGGAAAATTTAGCTGTAATCTGAGAATCACTCCATACTTTTCTTGCCAGTGTGGTTTTGCCAAGTCCAGTCATACCCACAATAGGTATGCATTCTACCTCCTCTGTTTCTTCAACAAGCCGCCCCATCACTTCATTTGATTCTGTAGTGAACCCAACGATATTATTAACCTCCAAGAATGTTTCCTATTAAGATTGGATATGTCAAAAAACAGAGCTCAAAATCTTTTCATTTTTGCAATAACAACTAAAACCACCATACAAGTAATATAATTTAGCAACTTTGAAGAAATCTCATAAATATTTAATCCAAAAACAAAAGAGAATAACTATCATCATGTTCAGAAACAACGTTAACATTTTCACTAAATTAGTGTGTTTGGTAGGGAGGAAAACATTTTCACTAAATGTTTTTCAATTTTTCTCATGTTTTATTGGGCTTAAATATTTTCCGCCTAGACCCTTTGTCTAGTGGTATAAATTCGGAAAAAAAAAACAGTTTTTAGTAAGATTAATGGTAATAACACACAGAATCACTGGAGCGCTAGTCCAAATATTTGCGACGGAAAAACTGCCGACCTAGGGTTTCTGGTGGCTCCTACATAGGCAGCAGCTGCACAGCTATCATGGCTGCTACGGCCACTGGACGGCCTCCTTTCAAGGCTGTCCAGACTGCCCCACCACCCCAAACCACCACATACGCCACCCTTTTCAATTCCAATACTATAAATCCTAAACAATCTGCCCTAATTAACTCAAAAACAATCGTAAAATCAATCAAAATAATTCATGGAGAACCTACTATCACATTTTCAATGGAAGAAAGGCAAGACTTTATGATCGAAGAGGGTTTACATCAAGCAATGGTGTTTAAATTATCCCATGGTGCGCCAGATTTGAAGGTATTAAGGTCAATTTTACCGAAACATCTTGGTACCAAGGGCAATTGTTTAATTGGCTTACTTGCTCCAAGACAAATTTTGTTGAGGTTTGATTAATATGAAGATTATGTACTAGTTTTATCTCGCTCAGTTAACTATCTTCTCTACAATGGAGACGAGCACCAATGTAGGGTTTTTCCATGATCCATTGGATATAACCCTAAGGAGGAAATGACGTTAGATGTGGTTTGGATTTCTTTACCGAACTTATCTCCAGATTTGTTAGCAAACAAGTCTCTGTTGTCTATAGCATCAGCAGTTGGGAAACCAATAGCTATAGATAAAGCTACTCAAATCAAATCAAGACCTAGCACGGCTAGGGTCAAGGTTATACTTGATCTAATGGAAAAGCTTCCAAATCGTATAAGATTGCAGTTTATGGATGAAAAATCTGGTAAGTTGATTGAGGTTTTTCAGGAGATTGTATATGATAATCTACCGTTGTATTGCAATTATTGTAAGCACCAAGGTCATGATGAAAATAGTTGTCGTTTGATTTCAAAAAGAAATCAAAATAACAAACAAATTAATGATACCATTGAAGGTGCTTTAAAAGGTACTACCAATAGTGAAAAGTATCAAGGCGATGCAAAAGAAATATTAAATGAGAAAAGAAAGACTGTAGATGTCGATCAAAGTAAAGCTACTTCTTTAGATCGACAATTGGTTGCTTCCACTTTCGAGCAAAATCGTGTAGACTCAATGGATGTTGATACAAGTAATATTGGTGTTCAAACAACTACCGAAAACAAAGGTGATTGCAATAACCAACATGCTACTACTAATGAGGTGCAATCAAAAGAAGTTGGGATGAATTTGAGGTCTAATGCAACTAAAAACGCAGGGGGAACACCAAGAGTTGGGATTGATGAACCGCGAGTTGATTCAGGGCAAAAATTAATGGATTCAGGACAAAAACTAATGAATACATCTGATGTTGAAGATGCTAAAAATTCTGGGTAGTATGTTTTGCAAGTTGAAAACAAGAATCCAACCAAAAACTAGACACTAGTTGCACACAACAAATCAACTAGTAGTTGGATTCTTTCCCCTACTAGTCAAAATAATTCTCCATGTAGTGAAAAGGGTCCGATTGAAAATTTTCATGACAGTGAGAAGAGGCAAGATACTAGTAATGCCTCAAGAGACCTATTATGTTTGAATAGCGCCTTTGATGCTTTATTGAAGACTATTGAAAAGCAAGTAAGGTTAACAGAGAATGACAATGATTTAATCCAAGAAAAACAAGTCTCACCACCTACTTTAAATAGCAAATTAAGTCCAGAAGCTCTCGTATTTGTGCCTAAATGTGTGATTGCAAAGAAGAATGAGTCAAAGGCCTTAATGTCAAATACAATTTATTTGGGTGAGAATTCTCTTGATGAAGATGGAGTGGATTTGGGTGAGGATTCTCTTGATGAAGATGAAGAGACAATATTCTGGACATTTGCTTTGATAGAGTGGCTAGAGAAGGGGATATATCACCTAGGCAACAAAGAAGTGGAAGCAACAAAAGCAAAAAGAAGACACATGGAAGGCAACATAGTTGGGACGGTAAAATGACTGAGGAATTTGTTCCAAGGCACCTACCGATGCGATAGGCAAAGCAAAACCATTTGACAGTATCAATAGGTTCAACTAGATCCAATAAATTCAGGTATGAATCATCAAGTATTGTTGGATAGGTTTGAAGAAGAAGACCAAGAGAAAAATACTTCAAGCTACTTTTAATGGACAATCAATCTTTTTTAATTCATGCTTTTGTAATAGAAAGTTTGAGGCTGGTAACTCAACTTTCTTCTTGATTGACATATTTTTACATTATTTAAGCATCCTCATTTGTAATATCATTATGGAGTGTATTACAAACTCTGTGATGATCAGAAAATACTTAGTTCTCTCTAACTCTTATTTTCTTCATGCTTGTTAGGTAGCAGAAGTTAAGTACTTCATTAGGATTAGTAAGGTAATGCCTAGCCCCCTTTGCTTGTACTTGTCCCTATTGATATTTTTTATGTTTAATAAAAGATCGCTAGACAATGTCTAGTGGTAAATTTGCTTTAAAAAAAAATGGTAATAACACTAATTTTAAAACCCTCAAGTTTTATAATTTACACAAAGACTGTATCTTCTCCTCCCTCCCTTCTATCGTTGTCGTTGTCCCCACCCCTTCTATTGTTGTTGTCGTCACCGATGGCGGAACCAAGATTTTCAATAAGGGGGTTCAAAATCTGAAGAAATAGACACACAAAGTAGCCGAAGAGGGATTCGACATCTACTACCTCCTCCTCTCACTCTTCCACCACCTTCTTCTTTTCCTCCTCAATCACCGTCACTTCCTCCACCTCCACTGCTTCTTCTTCTTCTTCCTCCATCACCACTATTGCCTCTTTCGTTGTCACACCAATACCAACACATGTCATCACAATCACCGTCTGTTGTAACAAGTTCAACAAGGAAAAATAGCTTGATATACCTCTCAACTTTGTCATTTAGAGTCGATATACCCTTGTTACAAAAGTGGCTCACATATACCTCTTTCGTTACAAAATTGGCTCACATATAACTCTTATCGTTACAAAAGTGATTCACATATATCCCTACCGTTACAAAAATGATAAAATTAATTTTAAATTATTTTTTAAATTTTTAGTTTCTTAAAAAAATCATGTATTTGATCTTTTTCACACATAAATTATTTTTTGACTTCTTTATTTATGTATTATTTAAGTTTCTTATTCTTATTTCTTTTTTTTTTCTTTCATTCATTAGTGTAAAAATAAGAGACATAAAAAAAAAGGAGTGTGAATGAAAAAAGAGAAAAAAAAAATTAAAACTATTTTTTTTTTTGCTATATTGTAATTTAGTTTATATAACACTATACAAAAAAATTGGAGCATTCATAATAAATTTTACAAGAAAATAAGTGAAAAAAATTGACCATCAAAATAAGAAATTCAAATTAATAGTTGGATTAAAAAAGTAAAAAAAGAAAATGTGTGAGACGGATTAACTATACCTTACATGAATTATCTTTTTGATTAAAAAATTAACAAAAAATTACTTTTTTCACTTCCGTCAGAAGAAAAGGGTATATGTGAGTCATTTGTGTAACAATATGGGGTATATATGAAATACTTTTATAACGATGGATATATCAACTCTTAATGACAAAATTAAGGGGTATATCATGCTCTTTTTTCCCTTTCAACAATTGTTGCAGCAACTCAAACTGCGGTTGAAGTTGCAACAATTACAATACCTTCTACAATAACTATTGTAGCTGCTGAAAGCCTGAACAATTATCGTAGTTGTTGCGGCAACTACAACAACTGTAATAGTTATGCAACAACTATTATAATTGCTTGATTTTCTGCAAATTTTCTATAATGATTTTTAAAATATCTATAAAAAAAACTCTTCAAATTTTCAAAATTAAAGTAAAACAGTTGGTAAAAATATAAAAAAAGAATAGCACAATAAAAGAAGAATGAAGGTCAATACTGGACAAATTCCCAAAGCCCATCTCATGTCCATAAACCTTGGAATTCATGTACACTCCAAATTCTGCTATCTCTAGCTCTAATGTTAAACTAAATATTGATGGAGCCTACAAGAGTTGTGTTAGGATCGAAATAAGCAGATGTCATGTGGAAGCTAGCAAAGCAAATTCGAAAGACCACGAGTAAGAAGACAAACGAGAAATATATCAAAAGACACAAAGATTTAATTAACATGGTTCGATCAGTCGACCTACGTCCACAAAGGAGATGAGCAATCCACTATAAATATGAGAGTACAAATTATAGAGAGAAACAAATTCACTCGGAATACATGAAAAGTTCACACAAGCGATAACCTAGTACTTGTGTCCCACAAATTCTCCCCCTAACGAAAACTGTCAAAGCCCCTAGAATTATATTGTGAATGTTGATTAAGTTAGAAAGAACAAACCTATATTTATAGAGTCTAAACCTACCTTTTCATACAAGAAAAGGACCCGTCAAAATATTAAACTTTTTTCTAAAAGAAAAATCTATTTTGGTAAGAAACTCAGGGCATATAATAATACCCAACATAAGTCAAGTGATATTCTTTTTATTTATAATTTACCTGAGGCTCCCTTGCAAGTCTTCTGGGTAGATTTAGCATTGGCTTGGGCTGGAGAACTTGTGAATTATTTTGGCGAATCGCCTTCACCTTCTCACAGATATCTTTGGTACCTTTTGCAAGATTATTAACTCTTTTGATATGCCTGCCGAAAGATAAAGTTTTTTTCCATATATTTTTTTCTTCATGCAGCTTCGCCTCAAGTACAAATTTGTCAATAACGTCATCAGCTTTATGCGCTTGTGTTCGGATATTCTTCACAAATGTTTTCCACAAATTGCTGTTGCTTTCTTGTTGATCATTATCCTGAAGGAATGCTTTCAGTGTGTTAATTTCTTGCAGCAGATTATCCAACTCATCCTTTGCACCTCCAATCAGCTTCACTTTTTCAGTGATTAGTTGACACAAGCTCTCCACAAGCAAAGTCATTACTGCATCTGCCATCTTTAATTTACTAACCAAAAATTCACATATTTAATTTCTTTTCTAGCTCTATATAATATAAGCACATAATTGTACAATTTATCTTATGTTGACTTTATTTTTTAGCACTATTATAAATAATTAATTACAAGTATTTGGGATATACACACAAATCAAAATTAGGTGTAATTTGTTCTAAATATACTATATCTAAGTGGATTCACAAATATTTGGGATATGACATGAAATTATTAATTAGTGATATAAAATATAACTACACGGAGAATTAATAAGGTATGAATTTGGACTTGACACATCCATTAACAAAACAATGATTAACATGATTATTTATTATTCTTATTAATTGATGTTTAGTACTCCCTCCGTTAATATTTGTATGTCGTCTTTCACAAAATCAATGCATAAATGACCATATTCTTTCTATTTTACCTTTGTGAGTTATTAATTAGCTCTGAAAATATACATTTGACCAACATAGAAAAACTAAATAAACAATTTATGTTCGTTGGTCAAATTAATTAATCAAAATAATTTAATTCATGTTCATTGATTGAAAACTTGACTTCAAAAAAACACTAAATAAGGGTAGAATAGTAAATTTACTTAGTTTCTTAATGCACATGAAATCTAAAATGGTGACATATAAATAGGAATGGGGGGAGTATTAAGTCTTGGAAAATATATAATTAATGCTAAGGGTAAAACATAAAATTAAACAATTGTCTTTTTCTAAAAATGTCAAAAGTAATAACAAGTAATAGTGAAAATTTTGTTTTGTTATAATGGATAAGTAAAAATAAACAGAGTAAATAACATAAATTAAGCCTTTTTTAAAAAAAATTATTATCTCACCGCGACCATTTAACTAACGAAGTCTTTGTCTTTGTAATTTTTTAAGCACCACCAACAAATTATAACTAGTAACTCTAATGGCAGCCGTGCTTAAAATATTACATAAGACAAAGACTTTGTTAATTAAATGGTTGAGGCGTTTCACACCCTTTAAGAAAAGTATAACTTTTCATTTTTACACTTATTAATTATTTTCAAATTTATAATTAAAATAACTAAATACTAATTAAGAACTAATTCCAATATTAACTAATGAAGGGTAAAATTGGAAGAACATTCTAAAAGTAGTCTTGAAAATTAAACAATCAAATTAATTTGAAAAATGAAAAATATCTCAACAATTCTATTAATTTGAAATGGAGGGAGTAATATTTGCTAGAATATTAATTATTTTATTTTCAGCAGTAATTTAAAACAAACAAAACCAATTTGTGGTGAAAACACTAGTTTGCTTAATTGTAATTGAACAACTTAGAACAAAGGAGTATATTTTAATATACTATGTATTTTTCTAACTAAACTAGAATCTCTATTAATTACTGCTTATAAAGATTAGTTTCAAACATAATAATGTAGAGATCATAAAACTAACAGATAGTTAGATTAATTGTATAATACTACAATCATATATTCCATTAAATTATTTCATGAAAAAAATATTAAACTTAAAAGGGCAAGAAAGGTTGATAAAATATTTAAAGTATGTACTCTTCAACTTGTTTGGAATTGAGTTATGAATATTATTTCTGTTGAGATAATAAATAAAGCAAATAATATGATTGGTGTGTGATTAGATTGTCATGACCTAGATCATCGTGATTGACACTCACACTAACCCTCCGGTGGAAGAACCATTAATACTAATTAGCTAACCAACTTTAATCAAAATACTAAGGCATTTAAGTTACGGAAGCAAATTAAATGCTAAGAAAGAAATAGAGAGTTTCCATAAACTCCTACAAAAGGTCTAACAACTAAATAAATGCGGAAGTAACACCTAGAACCTGAAAGTCAATGTACCAAAACATCTAAAGTTCAACAAGTCTAAACAAGAAGGGATACAACCCCAAACTAATGCACTAATAACTAACTAGAAAATCTAAGTCTGAAATGATGGACATAGACGAACGAGAACACATGGCAGTCCGGAAGAATTGGCTCACCCTTGAATTCGAACAAGATCACTGATCTTTTAAATGAGGTCTGTCAATAACCGCCTGAAGATGCCCTGTACTCAACAAAAATAAGAGCAAGTGCAATATCAGTACACAACCACAGTGTACTGGTAGGAGCACGCGGCTATCCCACTAAGTTGAACATACATAAATCAATACAACAATCTAATCACATGCATATATCGAACATATACAATATTATCAATATTTACAAACAACGTACAACTTCACAAGATGCACAACTATGACAAGGCATTGGTCCTCTCATGGAACCCAAACCCAAACAGTGAGTATACCGGAACGTGGTACCCTATCCAAAGATTATGCCGGAACGTGGCAACCGATCCCATATTTATGCCGAAACGTGGCAACCGATCCCAATTAGTTATATCGGAACGTGGCAACCGATCTATTCAACACACCACAATCACAAACACAAGTACATTCTCGTAATCATACAATCAAGTCATGATTCAATGGCATTCGACAATCATATATCCTCATTTACAATAAGTGTGATCAATAATGCAACATCCACATACATACATATATCATAATGAAGCAAGACAAACATATATCACACAATCATAGAATCACAACCATCACCTACCTCAAAACAAGCTTGAAACCTTAAGAAACTTGATCCTTTCCTTTACGAATTCGTTCTGCTTGTTCTTGATCTACAAATAATCAATATAATACGGGAATCAATGAATAATCACTAATTACCCGGATTACTAACAATTCTAACAAACCCTAGATCAACCCATGATCTCAATTATCCCAAATAGGGCTGTTTCCACCATAGATTCTAGATCAAAACCCTCCCCCATCGATATTTAGCCATTAGATTACATTTTATGGATCGAAAAATGGATTCGGGGAGTTAAAATCTTACATTTAGCCTCAAGAATGGTGAAAACTGTCAAGAAGTCGTGTGGGGTCGTTCCTTAGCTCTCAAAGTCAAAAAGTGCAGAATAAAATGTTTTTAGGATTTATTTACGACTTTAAGTCGCGTCGGGCCCGCCACAGCGGCCCTCACCCCGCTACAGCAGCCCCACCAGAGCGACCAAAATCCCCGCCAAAACGGGTTGCACGAGACAGTGAGCTATTTAATAATTCTCAAAACCCCCATTTTACAACACACATTCAACCAATGACACTTAGAAAATACAGTTAATGCCAAAGTCAGTTTCAGGAGTTCTACTCACTCGAATTCAATTCCGTAAAGTCGTACGGATTCCTTAACGCGTTGGCTATCTACTCATGTAATCAAAATATAAATAAGTCCCCCGATTGCTATCATATTTCCCTACACCTTAATGACTGCAATTTCGTCCAAATCTTGACCAGGTTGGGAAATTTCAAGTCACTACGAAAAATTTTCCGACCTAAAAATTTTCTCCGTTGGCTTTTCTATTACGACGAAACCCGATCGTTACAATAGATACCAATTTACCCATCACTCGTCCTCAAGTGACAAACTTAGGAAAAATAGGCTAAGGAAATAACAAAGTAGTACCTGAATCGACGAACAATTGGGGATACTTGTCTCGCATGTCTCTCTCGGTTTTCCAAGTAGCTTATTCAACTGGACGATTCTTCCATTGAACTTTCACGGACTTAATCTCATTGGTCCTCAACTTACGCACATCACGATCAAGAATTGCAATCGATTCCTCCTCATATTTGAGGTCTTTGTCTAGCACAATTGAGTCTCATTTAATGATGTAATACTGTCACCATGATATCTCTTCAACATGGACACATGAAATACCGGATGAACACCAGATAGATTAGGAAGTAGAGCCAATCTATACGCCATCGGCCCTACATATTCAAGAGCCTCAAAAGGACCAATGTATTGCGGACTTAGTTTGCCCTTCTTGCCAAATCTCATCACCTTTTTCATGGGTGATACCTTAAGAAGAACATTCTCACTAGTTTGAAACGACATGTCTCTTACCTTATGATCCGCATACTTCTTTTGTCTACTCTGGGCTGCTAGAAGCTTAGTTCGAATACCCCTCACCTTATCTTGAGCATCCTTCACTAAATCAACTACCAAAGGTTTCACATCCCCATCCTCGAACCATCATATGGGTGATCTACATCTCCTCCCATAAAGTGTCTCAAATGGTGCCATGTCTATGCTGGAGAGATAACTATTATTGTAGGAGAATTCATACAAAGGTAGGAACTTATCACAATGCCCTCCAAAATGAATCACACATGCCCTCAACTTGTCTTCTAACACTTGAATAGTCATCTCTGACTGTCCGTCTGTCTGTACTAAAAATGAGTTGTGTGCCCAATTCATCATGCAATTTCCTCCAAAACTTGGATGTGAATTGAGTACCACGGTCTGAGATGATAGAAAGGAGCACCCCATGCAACCTCACTATCTCTTTCACATAAACTTTAGCCAATTGTTCAGCATTATAATCTATTGTTACTGGAATAAAATGGGCTGACTTGGTCAATCTATCAACCACTACCCATATATTATCAAACTTCGCCAAAGTCTTGGGAAGACCAACCACAAAATCCATGGTTATCATTTCCCACTTCCATTCCAGAATTGGCATTCTTTGAAGCAAACCTGCAGGCCTTTGATGTTCATACTTCACTTGTTGGCAATTTTGACACTTAGCCACAACCTTCGCTATATCCATTTTCATGCCCAGTCATCAATAAATTCGCTTCAAGTCTTGGTACATCTTCGTTACACCTGGATGAATAGAATATCGCGAACATGATATTCAACCAATAATTTTTTTATCAAGTCGTCTACTCTAGGTACACAGATTCTCCTTTTAAAATTGAGCACACCTTCTGCATCAAGAGTGGTCTCTTGTGCTTTACCAATTGCAGTCTTCTTTTTAAGTTCATTCAAATTCTCATCCTCAAATTGCTTGGCCTTGATCTCTTCAATGAATGTAGCCCTTACTTCAATGCTAGTTAACACCCCCA